CCAAACTTCGCGCACGCGCCATTCCCGGACCATGCGGTCGTCCCGCGCCATCTTGGTGTTGTTTTGACCGTGAATTCTTTCTCTCTCGTTCGCCGCCTTGCAAAATAGCGTCGGCAGCACAGTTGAGACGCTATTGGCGTTTTCCCGCGATGCGATGCGGAGCGCTGATTGGCTAGAGCAGCGCATTCATATCTCGCGGGAGAAAGCGTGCCCGCCATTGGCTGCTGTGCAGCAACGGGGGCGGTCGCTCCTCTCGATGGCGCGTCCAGCGCGCTCGCTTCGTTGTTGCTCTCTGCTCCGTCCGCCTCGACAGACGTCTCCTTACGAGCCGCTCTTCGCCTTGTGCTATCTTTTCAATCATTTTCTCTCGTTATTTTTCCTTTTTGCACTAGTTCTGTGCCTTTCGTCTTTGTTGTTGCGGACGATGCCGGCAACGAAGCCAAAGTCAGTGCAGAAGTCCGGTGTGCGGAGGCGCGCTATGCGGCTTGTACGATCATCGACATTCCGCTATTCTGCTACGGGTGCCGACTGCGTAGACGCTTGCAGCGACGGAACTGTGTTGTCGGCTGTCGCCAGTCGAGAATCCGACACATCGAGTGTGGCTGGAGCCGCAAATGCACCGAGTGTTTCCGAGATCGCCCGGCTCGACACGTGCTCCGAATCGATGCTATCCAGTGTGACACCGAGTGCTTCTGATATCGCCAGACCCAGCACTTCGTCTGAATCGGTGCCGCCATCGAGCGTGAGTGGACCGTCGCTTCATCTGCGGACGCGTTTCCTAACAAAGGAAGAAATCGATGCGAATGCGAAACGTCGTGACGCCGTTCGCGCTGAACTCGAGCCTACGCCGGCGACGCAGAAGAAATTTCAACTGATGCAGCCGGCTCTTGCATTTGCAGTGACAAGTGAGGGCGAACATTTTTTGCTCGTTCAAATGAACATCTTTAACGTCGTGCTCAGCCGCACAGTGTGCAAAGAATGTTTGAAAGGTGCCATGACTGTCTGAGAGAGCACCAAGCTTGGACTTGCAACAAAACTTGAAGTCGTGTGCGCCTCTTGTGGCACCGTCGATAAATTATGGACATCACCCCGCAAAAAGGACACGCAGGCCTTCGATGTAAATGTCCGCGCCATAATGGCTATAAAGCAAATAGGCAAGGGGCAAACAGCTCTTAATGACTTTTGGGCTGCCATGAACGTCTCTTACAGAGGTCTTCACCACAAGACGTTTCAAAAGCACTTGAAAGAGACGTTCAGGAAGCCAGAGGCCACCGCTTTGGAGAAGTTTTATGCTGATTCTGCCACAGCAGTGATCAAAACATATAAAGAAATGGACCCCAGCTTCTGCAAGGACATCACCGTAGTGTACGATGGCACATGGCATAAGCGGGGTCACACATCACACATCGGAGTGGGATCGGTAATTGACTTCTTTACAGGTCTCATCTTGGATGCTCTAGTTCTTTCAAACCACTGTCTACGATGCCAAACAGGGCGCAAACCTGGAGATGCAGCATACGAAAACTGGCAGAAGCACCATATTTGCCAGAAAAACACAGACGCAAAATCGGGAAGCATGGAAGTGGAGGCAGGCTTGACTCTTTTTGGGCGGTCTGTATCCAAGCATGGCCTGCGGTACACCACTCTTGTGCCTGACGGAGACAGCCGTACCTTCGCTGCCCTCACAGAAGAGAATGTGTACGGGCTAGTGCCAATTGTAAAAGAAGAATGTCTGAACCATGTTCAGAAAAGGATTGGAAGTGCTCTTCGAAACATTGTGCAGAAAAGTGATAAGCCACTGAGTGGGAAGGGGAGGCTGACTAAAGCCCTCATTGAAAAGCTGACAGGATATTATGGTTGGGCCTTGAGAAACAATTCAACTGACCTAACAGCCATGCAGCGTGCAGTGATGGCAACATATCACCCCGTCACATCGACTGACCAGGACCCTCACCATGAACTTTGCCCAGAGGGGCTCAATCGTGTTGCCGCCATAGAGCTGCAGAGGCAAAGCGTGAGCCACAGCCAAAACATAAACACAGCCTACCGGACTATGTCGCTGCAGCTATGCTGCCCATCTACGAAAGACTGTCACAAAAGTCGCTTCTTCAGCGCTGCCTGGGAGCGAAGACGCAAAATGCATCAGAATCATTCCACTCCATTCTGTGGTCTCTGATGCCGAAGGAACACCACTCTTCCTTGATCGCGGTAGAAACAGCACCGCATGAAGCAGTGCTGCGCTACAATGCCGGCTGCTGCAAAGCAACCCAAGTGATATCGGACTCCATTGGACTTCAACCAGGTCATCTGGCCATCCAGCGAGCTCGTGAAAAAGACGCTTTACGCCTAAAAAAGAATTCTAAAAGACACCGAGAAGATGGAGGCCAGGCAAAAGAAGAAAAGAGTGCGCCAGGACACTTCTAGCTACTGTGCTGGAGCTTTTTGAAGAAAACACATGTTTTGAACTTTCTCGGCCTGTTTTCTCAGAACGGATTTTTTTGCTAGTTGTGGTGCTGAGGAAAGCAAGAACTCGAAAACCGTTCATCAGATTTTTGTGCCGTTTTTTTTTATTCTGTTCCTGAATGACCTTGCAAGAGCATAACAAGCTCCTTTTTTGAAAATTAGTGCTGTTAATTTATAATAAACAATTAATTTTTGATGAATCTGGTCATTACTGGTTACATCAAATTTAAAGTTGCGTGAAAATTTGGGGGGGGGGGGGAATTAAAAAAAAACGGCTTTGTAGCGCCCTGGGATAGCTATCAAAGAATGACCACAATGAATTTCAGCTTTCTACTATGTCCTGGAATTTCTCACGACTCTTCCTCAGGCACCCATGTGAAGCACCCAGTTAATTAAACCTCAATAACTCTGGAACTAAGAAACACAGCTTCGTGAAACTTAGCAGTTGTGCTAGTTTTATTGTAGTGAACAACCCCTGAAAGTTTCATCCAGATATCTTAAAAAATAAAAAAGTTCGCTCTCCAGGATAGCCTCCCCCCTTAACAGTTTCCTGTCGGGAAAAGCGTCATTGTTATCGAGCTTGCTACAGATATTGCATTTGCTACCTCGTCTGTAAATAATTAAAAAAAAAAAAAAAACGCCAGGCCTGCACTGTAGGCACAGCCCAGTCACAGCGAAAGCTAGAAGAGCGACCTTTCAGAGCATTTTCAAAACACTCATTGGATGACTACTGCAAGCACACTAGCTTGGTATAAGAAATTGAAATTTGAAGTTTGTTTGAAAAAAATTGAATTTTGTTTGAATTAAACAAACGTATTATTATCAGAGTTTCAATTATTTCGAGTCTACTATAAATGCCTTGTAGTGCACCACGAGAGGAATCTATCGCATTTTTCAATTGAAACAATGCCATTGCATCTCTGGCACTTAATCCTTTCAAGCAATTTGTTAAAAGGGGTCAAAGGTCTTAAAACGATATAAAATGTCTGAAAATTTTATCATTTTATTTTTTTACAAAACATATTTTCGGGGTGTTTGTGCCTCGAGCATCTGGTCTCAAGTTACTAACGCTTAATTCGGTTGGGAAATGCAATATGATGGGCCAGCAAAGCGACCCAACAGCAGCAAAATGCCCCCAAACAATAAAATTTGTTCGAACTTTACGCGCGCGGGCCATGAGCTTTGTAACAAGCTGAGCATTACCACCTTGAGCTAGATTTGAAACCGTTTCCTTTGTGCGTAATCTCAAAAGTGTCGCTCAAGAATTGCCGTCGTCACAGGTTTTCCGAAGGTTGTTCCTGAGTTGCTGATTGGCTCTCAGTCGGTGCACGTTGAGTGTGCCGTACCAAGTCTCCCTTTGGCTGACGCGACTAACGCGTCATTTTTTTTTTCCTTGCACATTCACTGCCATGGCTGTCCAATTGTGTGCGTCTGCTTTTGCACTCGTGCATTTTTCTCGACGCAGTGTTTTTTTTGCTTTGAGCTAGTAGTTTTTGTACGCTATCGCGATGCCTGGGGACTCGCCTGAAACCGTCTTAGCAACAAGCTTTTAGAAGCGGTAGAAAGCGAGCTTAGAACAAGAAGGCGCTGGCTAGAAGTGCCCTGCTGGGACGAGAGTTTGGTAAAGTAGGTGTCCATTAGGCACCTTTACATTTACACTCCACTCTGCGTGCAGAATGATCGCGCAGGCAGCAAAACACAGAGCACATTCCACGCTCCATTTAAGGGGGGAAGAGGCACTTAGCCATCAGGCATGTTATTATTTAAGCTATGGTGATGAAAACTTATGAGATGGTGTATTTACATGTGCAGATGTCAAATATCAACTAAGTTTTTATGTACCTCTTACCATTTTCTTTTTATTAGTCATTAATGAAAAGTTATCTTTATCATCTTTTCAGCGAATTGGCTGTACAGATCTTGCTGAATTAAAAGTCATTGCATTCTACAATTAGCAGAGTGCAAAAAACAAGTTTCATGGCTCTAGCTTTCCTACAACAAAAGTTATGAAGTTTAGAAGTTAATCCTTCCATTGTCAATGAACGATAATTTTTGTATTTATTTTTCTAAAAATTTATGGTGTCCTATTGTTACATATGGCACTTTCTTGCACTCACTAAACATCCAGCTTCTCAGCAAGACAAAATGATCAAATTCCAAAACTCCAAATTATCAAAAGGCGCGGTGCAGCACGGAGGTGGCCAGGTGCTGTGAGTGGCAAAACGCACCTTTTAACTTGCGTGCGGAGCCGCGCTGCCGCAAAGATTGCGGGGCGCGACGAGTGCCGAAGCGCACCTTCCAGCTTGCGCGGCGTTCATTATATATGAAGGCAGGTAAAAATACCGTTCAATATAAACGTGTGAATTCCTATACTTTTACAAAGTAATTGTAAGGGGAGAACTTACGAGTTCGATATACCCGAAAAGCCTATATATGTGGGTTCGATATATACGTGTTTGACTGTATGTTCTTTTCTGAGAGGCCTAGTCAATGAAGAAGAGAGGAACAAAAATAATCCTCAAAAAAGTCAGCCCCACCTTTTAAACCGTCAGACAGGGAATCCTTATCAATCACACCCCCTTCCTCCAAGGCTAGCAGGTTGACATCCGCAGGCAGCTTGTCGAGTGGAATGTAGCTCACACCTAGATCTACCTCCCAAAAGTCTTTCAATTCTTTGCCCTTCACACCTTTGCCCGGTGCCCAGGCCATCTGCAAACATAAAAAAATAATAACAAATATAATTAAAAGGCCAGCTCGCTACTTGCACACTTCTCACACAAAGTTACAACTTATTTACTTGTACACTGAGACGCAAGAGCATCGGCAACTTCCTGTTTCAATACACATATACTAGTATGTGTGGATTTCTGAATTTTTGGAATAAGTTCCTGCTTTGCTAGCTTAGGTAAGCTATATTTTTTTTTCTTCAATTTCACAACGAAATTCTCACTTGAACTAAATTTTTTCCGCGCCCTGTCAGTTTAGTTCTAGCGGGGTTCGGCTGTATTGACACCTAGATTATAAGACGTTTTTGCGTGGTCCTCCAATGTTGTGTACATTGGGGTTCAATTGTTTAGCTTTCACCATGCTATGCTTTTCACAAGTGAAATGAAAGAGCCCCCCCCCCCCCCCTTCCCAAGTTCACGAGAAATTAAATTTTTGGATGCGAATTACTCACACATAATTCAACCTGAAAAAAGTTAAAACATGTATGTATGTGCACACACATGTACACACACCTTGATCAGGCTCCCCTGCAGTTTCAGATTCTTCAGTTTTTGCAATGCTCTAAAGGCATCTTGTCTGCGGTCCATGCACACGTAGGCACAGCCACGTGGAGGAATCATCTGCAAAAAGAGAAAAACGTCATTACGCCATGAAGCACGAGTGACATTTGATTTTTTTTACGTTACAGTAACACCTCCAAGCCTCACAACTAAGCTGGTGTATTGGTCGACAACATTACACAGTGCAACTAGCGTGTCATTTTTTGTTTAGCAAAATATAAAACAGGCTTATGTACAGCTGATGCCTTGTTAATGTGAGTGCACACTCTAAGTAGAGTCGGCAGAGGGGAATCGAGGTTGCTCCTTTGCAGGAGTGACTGACCTGCCGCACCGATTCCTCCCTTTTGAGGAAAATTGTTATCGAATGGGATGAACTACTAACCTCCGCTTGGTTCTTACTCATGGGACTAACAGTTGGTGCTTTTTAACACTTCCATTGAACCCACTATTTAGTATACAAAGCGGAACCCTATTCCGCAATGACCAGCATCTTACGACACACTATTTTGGTTCCAACGAAATCCATGTAGAAATAATGTATTCAAAATAGTTGCATGCGAATACTTGAACATTTAAATATATATTGAATAGTGGTTGCTCTTCTATTTGATTAACACTAAAATTATGATTATTCAAACATCTCAAAGACAAATAGAGTCAACAGTCAACGTCCACAATGGTCACTTCAAATTTTTCTCATATGCTTCACCCCAATATACTCACATATGGCGAAGCTGCCTTTCGGACTCTGCTACGCTCTCAAATGTATTGACTCGTGAAAACGCTGGTTCCAACATGGAGGTGCTCTGCACCGTTACAGTATACCCCTCATATTTTTAAGGGGGGACACTCAACATGATAGGAAATGCCAGATATTTTCATGTGTTTATAAAGACAATTCACAGTGTGATTGAGTTATTGATGTCAAAAATGAAATTACTTTTCCTCTAAGCCAATTAGTTTTTGAGATATTCTAAAGTTATTTACCTATTGTTTGCCGGTATAATGACACAATAAATTTTATTGCAGAGCTACAATTGGCATATTTCTGTATACTAATGAACATAAGCCACACAACGGTAGGAGCACTTTTTTTTATTTGATAACTTTAACAAGGTTTGTCGCACTTTGCATTTCAGTGTTGCAGATACACCCACTTAATGCTCAAATTTCGGATAAAAAATACAATTTTTGAAGATTTCAATCAAAAATTCACCCCTACCATTGTGTAAACTAAAGGTACAGCTACATTTCACAACAAAAATGACAGCCCTAGCTGCTCTGGAGGCAGAGATATCTTTTGGACAAGTTTGCAACTGCAGCAAAATTTGAATCCTGAGAAATCATGCAAAAACAGAAGTCGACTCTGAGCAGACAGTAGCATGGAAAAGCTGTTTATTTACGATGATTTTTAAATTCAACTTTCTCAGTAGGCACCAGGCATATAGTCTTTCTGTTTTGCGTCACCTAAATGACCTTTTTTCAATGCCCGCTGCGTGCTTTCCGCAGAGGCACACTTGCGGGCAGATGCGATCAATCTGTTGTGGTCTTTTTCTTTCATGCGTTTTTTTTTTCTTTAGCTGAAAGTCCAGGATTGACGTGCAGCTCCTTCAGGATTGATGCTGAGGCTGCTTCATTTCCAGCTCCAGCATTGCATTTCAACACAGCTTCAGCCACAACAGCTTGGACAGAAAACAGTGACGCATGGCTCTCTTTAGCTGAGAGCGCCCAAACAACAGAATGAAGGTTCTCATTGTTATTCTGCGCTTACCCCCACTGGCACCGTTCAAGAAGCCTCTCATCCGACAAGCGTTCGTAGGTGGGCAAAAGGGCCTTGCAGGCGTGAGGTGGCAAGTTGTAGCGATGCTTGGGGATGGGCCCGCCTTTTTCTGTGGCTGCATTTTGGCGGCACCAAGAATCTTTGCCTTTTGGGCACAAACTGTGGTCAGACACTTCGTCATTAGAGGTGACATGGTGATAGGTTGCCATGACAGCTCTTTGCATGGTCTTCACGTCACCTTTATTGCTCTTCAGCACCCAGCCATAGTAGGAAGTGAGCTTGGTAATCAGGTCACCAGTCAGTTTTCCCCTGCCACCAAGGCTCTCAGTTCCAGCCCCCTTTGGCTTAGCAATGAGGTTTCGCAATGCTGTGCCCATTCTCTTTTCAACGTAGTTGACACAGTCTTCCTTGTTGATTGGTATATAGTCATACACTTCGGCTTCCTGCATTGCAAGGAAGGTGCGGCTGTCACCATCTGGAAGTATTGTGGTATACCCGAGATTGTTTTTCTCCTGTGATCTCTACAAAAGCATCAATCCAGCTTCCACTTCCATTTCACCAGATTTTTTGCTGGAATTCTTTTGGCATATATGACTTGCTTTCCACGACTGGTAATCTGAATCACCTTCTTTCGGTCCCCGTTCGCACGCTGCGCAAAAATTACTTAGCACCACATAGTCAAGCACTAAACTAAACCCGTGAAAAGCTCTATAACAGCGCCAACACAGATATGGGATGAGTGTCTGCGTGTCATCCATGAACGATTGTAGGAAACGGCAATGTTTCCTGGGTCACCGAGCTTCAGTTCGCTATGAAGAGCGAGCGCTTTCTGATATGCATTTATCAACAGCTGCAGTCGCGGTGGGCCGCACTTTTTGCACTTCACGCCCACTGCATAGCGTTTAGAGCGTCGAGGCTCACCAAAGCGAAGCGCGTATCCATCACTTGTGAGCCAGCCGCAGCGTCATTCGTGGTGGCAGTGCCGTTTGCACAAGCGAGCAGATCTGATTTTCGCCTGGTAGCTGGCGTTGATGTAAAATTCTGTAGTTTTTCTTCGGCATTCTTTTTAATCATCAATAATTCAGCGGGCTTCGACATAATGGTGTCGCGTCGAAACGTCGTTGCTGTCAAAGCCGCTTTGACATGCTAGGCCTAACTCGAACTCTGTGTTCTCAACAGCTTCTTCTAGCCACTCGGCACGGGAAGCAAGTCGACATTTTCCTTTTCTTCGTACGTCCACCGAATTGGTGCTTCGCAGCGAACTTCGGCGTAGACTTCGGCATGAAGCCATGGCCGCGTTGTCCGATGTGCACAGCCGCAGCCCGAGCAGATGACTGCGCCAATGGCATGCCCACTGACTGTCACGTGCACTAGTAGACCAATAGGACCGCGCATCAGGTTGAACTTTTTGCTGGATTTTTCTTAGTGGCCACTAGGCGTATGCTGTAGCAGTGGGGCGAAAAATGAAAACGAAGCGTGGCTCTTTCAAACGCGACCAAGATGGACGCAATCAGAGACGTAAAAGGGCAGCTGCGCGCGTCAAAAAGCCGATTTTTGCGCGTCCATCGAGGAATATTTTCATCACGCGCATGTTTATGAACGCTACTGCGGCTAAAAGATTAATGTATGACGCGTGAAAATTTGCCAGATTATGCATCAGTCACTGCAGAATCCAAAAAAAAATATTTTCAAAAAAATTATTTTTCCGCGATTTTTCGGTCTCCAAAACCCGTGTTCCCCCTTAAAAGAGCAGTGAGATCAAATTTGCTCATATCATGATTCTTGCGTTAAAAAGTAGCTATCGACCCTCTAGTAGCGATTCGCAACCTAAAACGCAACTGAAGGACGCATAACTATCACTTGTATTGACTTATATCACTGGTATCTCCCACGATTCAAGACAGCCAGCAATACCACCATTTTTAGCGCTGTGAGCACTACCTAGGGGTCACCTCCAGACCACGTCACAGCTGACCACTTCTCCACAGAAAAGAGTGACGTGACGCTCAGCTGCTCTGCAAACATTTCGTCTGCTAGGCGCACACATTCAGTCATGCCTTGTCATCTGCATTGCTGTAGTCGCCGTATAAAGTGTCGACTAGGGTTAAATACAACAGTCTGGAGCTTGGAATTGCTGCGATTCGCAACGCTGCAAATCATTTTTGCTTCGATTGAGCCTTTCCAGAACAGCGATTCCAAAATTGTGCCGTTCCAAGCAGAAATGAGGAGATGCCCGAAGATGCATGCTTCGGCTATGCTCGCCTGTGTGTCTCAATTCGTTGTATTGGTTGGCTCTCTCCCCCCTTCGCCCGATGCGGTGTGCCTATTGCTTTTCTTTCTATTTGACACATTCCCCCCCCCCCCTCCGATCTTATCTGTGTGCCACAGGGGGGTTCACAAGTAGTGCAGTGTAGAGACATCGCAGCTGATAAGCACACAGCAAGCAAAGGTCACTAAACTGCGGGAGCCAACCCACACAGGTCGTTTCCTGTAAACACCCCCTTCCCCCTCCCTTTTAGCCTACTTTCTTCACTTAACTGTCCGTTCATTCCTTGTTTCCCTGTGAATGCATAGGTTTAGATGTCCTCACATGTGAGACAATAATCGTGTGCTCCAAAAAGCCCAACCATGTGCACGTGATTTTTGAGCGACGACGGCAGAATTTGCTGTTGCGAAGGGTCGCTATCACGTCGCAGGTTCCTGGAAAACCAGAAAAAAAAAAAAAGAAACCTGAAGATCATGACGATTTTCGCAACATGACAGCACCCCCGATTTTTGCTTCACTTCTTATCCCTGCGTAGAGGCACTTCTCATGTATAAGCGAGGCGGCGGCCTTATTTTGTCGTTAATCTTGTTATTGACGATTTGTTTTGATGCCTTGGGGGTAGCTTGCTGCAATGCTGGTTACTTGCTGCCACGGCCTCGTCGTGCTACGTTGCTGCGAAGTTGGGTAAGTGCGTCGTAGCTTCGTAGTGCACGCTTTTGGGCACTCCTTGAGGTCACAGACTAAATGATTGCGAGAAAAGATAATCGCTTAGCATTTTTATGGCATGCGCAGGCAGCCTGAGAAGAGTTTGCAGAAGATATCGCCATCGGCCCCCGAAGATGAGTAAAGTGAAACAAAGAAGCTGTTTCCAAACAGTGAACGCGCATGTGAATTGCAAAAGCCTAAGCTACCTACCTTTTTTTTTTTTTGCATTACTGCATTTCTTGCTCCTCCCGAAAAAGTGTTAATAAAATTTACCCCGCTCTGATTGTTGCTCAGATTTTTCAAGAGAAAAAAAGTGCGTTCATTACGCAAGCTCCTCCCGAAAAAATGTTCATAAAGTTTACCCCGCTCCGATTTTTCAAGAAAAAAAAAGTGTGTTCATTACGCAAGTAAATATGGTATTCCTGAAGTGTGGTAGCACACGCAAAGCAACAGAAATGATAAAAAATTCATGCGTTTTGAATGTAAAGACAGTGTGGTACATGTACCGTGAAACTCCTGGGCTAAGTTACAATGACAGGTTGTGAAAATATTTTTAAAGGACCGTTCTTTGTATGGGAACAATTTATGCAAAGTAAAGTATTAAATGCATTCAGAGCACTGACACCATACTCACATCAATCCTGACGATGGCACCGAATTCACCAAACGTGTCGTGCAAGTCAGTCTCAGAGACCGACTTCGGTACATGTCCAAGCCACAGAGTAGCGCTGCAAACTGCAAAATCAAGAAAAGTATTGCTTAGCCGAGAAGAAAGAACTTCGACGGGAGAGAGAAGACATGGCTTGTGGTAACCAAAATAACGTCAAAGCAACAAGATTGTTCTATAATGTTATTTAGACCTACAGCTATTCTGCACAACATGAAAGCCTAATGTAAGCCCTCACAGGGAAAAAAGAATGAAGGGGGGTGGGGGTGGGGGGGACTTTATTGTTGACAATACATAAATATTTCTATGCATTGCTCATAGACATATTTTTTAGCTGTTAACAATTTTTTTTCTGTATCCAACAAATAAGCGACAATGGGTTTTCGCTGTAAATACTAAATGCCCTTACCGCTAAGGCAGTTCTTTTTCACAGGAGGAAATCCTTTCCGGCGTCGCTCCCTCTCACGTTCCCTCTCTTTTTCTCTGGCACTTTCCCTGGTCTCCCGCTCCCTCGAACGGTCCCCCTTGGTTGTGCTACTATAGCGATTACCAGAAGCACGTGATGGTGATCGAGAACGAGAGCGGCCACCACGCCTCCGTGGAGACCGGGAACGGCTGTGCCTTCGCCTGTCCCTGCAGTGACGAGAAGCCAAATCTCTCAAGAAGCGACCACATATGCATGCATGCCGATGACACTGTTTTAACACAGATTTACACTGAAATATCAACATAATGAACTCATATATAACGAAGTAAGTGAACAATAGTCGCGTAAGAGATGGTGTTAGGAATATACCTATATAACGAATTTTTCAATACAGTATAACGGATTTATTTTCGTATTAGATGCAACTTTGTTATAATGGGGTTTGAGTGTATCTCGACCGTGCAACCTGGCAGCCTGCCGTTTCACGTGATGATGCTTTGGCCAGACGTAACTGCAGCTCATGCTTAATATAATTAAATACAGCAAAGCATGCACTACCTTTGTCAAAGTAATGAACTCTCCACCTCGGTTAGTGCTACACGACTGAACCATTAAAATTATGCTCATGCAAATAATGTACTTTACGTTCGAAAAAAATGTTATACAGTTGACGAAGTTTTCTGAAGGGGGAACAAGGGGTGTGCGAATATCAAAATTTTCGAATATGAATTGAATATGAATACATAGTCGAATAACGAATAATGAAGAGGTGCAATTTTTATCAGTAATATACCGTATTCACTTGATTCTACCGCGCCCTCGATTGTAACGTGCACCCGATTTCCACAACGAAAAAAAAAAAAAGAAAAGTAAGACATCGATTGCAACGCGCATCCATTTTTCTCGCTGGCCCACACGATCACACCACTCGAAAAAACAACTCCTTTCGGGAGCGTCTTCCATTTTAATATGGGATACGGGCGAAGCTTGTGCCCATCTGACGTGTAACAGAGTATTGCCGTCACTGTAGTTTTACCGTGAACCGATGTCAGCACGCGAACTTGCTTTGACCCCTTCTTCTCGACAATTGTGGTGCCAGGCATGTCGAAGTAAAGAGGCGTCTGATCGGCATTCCCGATTTGCCCAAGCAGAGAGCCGTTGTTGTGCCGCAAGTTTAGGACGAACCTCTGAAAACTGTGAAGCTTTTTATCGTACTCCTCTGCAAAGCTTTTCGCATATGCCCGTTCCCCTCCGGAGGGAAAAGCCTTTCCTCTTCATAAAATAGTCAGCCAGCACCTGCTCGCTTTAAACTGGCTCCACATTAGACCTTTTTGTAAGACTAATTGCATAGCCCGCACTTGGAGCAGTTAGTTCTGTCGTCACGGGCCGCTGTGCCGCTCGCTGCTCAAGCATATACTCGCCGAGCAGCTCTCTCTCTCTCTCTTTTTTTTTTTTTTTCGGAAACCGACCCTGCTGTGGTCCACTCAAGCCTTTGCGTGAAGCTTTGCTGTCAACAAACTTCTGCTTTTGTTTCTGCCAGTCCCGCACGCATGTTTCGGGAACTCCGAACGACTGCAATGCGGCCCGATTTCCGTCCCTTTCTGCACACGCAATGACTTTTAAAAGCGGCATCGTGGTGCACTCGAGCTGTTGAAGTCGGCCCTTCCATGCCGTCGATGCTAATGCACTACAAGATGACGAACTCCTCAGCACACGTACGAAGTGCCGCACATGGGAAACACATAGGCAGAAATGGCCAAGGCGCCGTGCTGACGCACGTAGGGGGCGGCCATTTTGGAAATGCCGATGGGAATAGAATGACCATATCCATTTTTTTTTTTCCGTACTCGATTCTAACGCGCATGCGATTTATGAACTCGCTTAACTGGAAAAAAGGTGCGCGTTAGATTCAAGTAATTACGGTATTACTCAATGGTATACTTAGTTTTATTTCTAGTTTTCTCCCTTTTTCTCGCCAGTCAAGCCACCAAGAGAAATAAGAGTACTTGGGGCATTTTTCAACCACACAGCAATACTCACTATCTCGCTTATTTCCAATGCCTTTTTCAAGGACCGCACTCACCATTTTCCGATCAAGAATGCTGTGTTGTGCTGATAGCTGCACGGTCGCCCCAAATACAACTTTCTGTTGACAAAGCTACAACTCCTCGGCGCCAAGGGCACTATTTTGTCGCATCGCGACCCCGACAAGTCATATCGCGACAAGTAATATTGTAATATCGCGCATCGCGACAAGTAATTGGGGATTTGCGGCCACACGCAGCATGTGCTAAGTTGTGCACTTTTCTATCATAGGTTGACTCGTGCTTGCCGCTGTACGCTGCCTGGCCGTCCGTCATCAACTTCTTCCGCGCATCTGCATGACGTAAAGAACCTGCTGACTGCGGAGATAACCTCACGGAGCCTGCGCCTGCGCCATCAGAAACAGTGCCACCTACGCCTATAAAAGCATCGCCTCAACAGGAATTCATCGGGATTTGCGGCCACACGCAGCATGTGCTAAGTTGTGCACTTTTCTATCATAGGTTGACTCGTGCTTGCCGCTGTACGCTGCCTGGCCGTCCGTCATCAACTTCTTCCGCGCATCTGCATGACGTAAAGAACCTGCTGACTGCGGAGATAACCTCACGGAGCCTGCGCCTGCGCCATCAGAAACAGTGCCACCTACGCCTATAAAAGCATCGCCTCAACAGGAATTCATCGGGATTTGCGGCCACACGCAGCATGTGCTAAGTTGTGCACTTTTCTATCATAGGTTGACTCGTGCTTGCCGCTGTACGCTGCCTGGCCGTCCGTCATCAACTTCTTCCGCGCATCTGCATGACGTAAAGAACCTGCTGACTGCGGAGATAACCTCACGGAGCCTGCGCCTGCGCCATCAGAAACAGTGCCACCTACGCCTATAAAAGCATCGCCTCAACAGGAATTCATCGGGATTTGCGGCCACACGCAGCATGTGCTAAGTTGTGCACTTTTCTATCATAGGTTGACTCGTGCTTGCCGCTGTACGCTGCCTGGCCGTCCGTCATCAACTTCTTCCGCGCATCTGCATGACGTAAAGAACCTGCTGACTGCGGAGATAACCTCACGGAGCCTGCGCCTGCGCCATCAGAAACAGTGCCACCTACGCCTATAAAAGCATCGCCTCAACAGGAATTCATCGGGATTTGCGGCCACACGCAGCATGTGCTAAGTTGTGCACTTTTCTATCATAGGTAGGAATTTTGTGCTTGTTATTGAGACTTAGCTAAGTGCAATTGTTTGTGGCTGCTTATCCCCCTTCCTGTACTTTGATTGTTGTTCAAATGGGTGTTGATCTGTGCACTCACCGGGCACGCATTGGTCTGTTTTCTGTGCGCCATAAGCCCCGGTACAGCAGTGTCGTTCCCTTCAGTGACAGTTCGCACTTCATCCTCGCTCTTTGCCCTAGACCTTCGCTAGGATTACTATCAGTATGCTTCGCCTTGCTTCTGCTCCAAGCGGGAGACGTTGAAACCAATCCAGGTCCCAAGATTGACGACGTCCTAGTCTTCCTTAGGGAGTTTCGTGAAGAAGTCACGACAGACATAAACGATGTGAAAGAACAAGTTGCTAATCTAAACACCCGGATCACCGCTATTGAAAGCAAAATTAGTAGTGTACAAGAAATACAGGATCACTTTGACGCAGTCAGGACATCCGTTCATGAAGTTAAGGCTAACATAAGAAAAACTAATGATGAGCTCATTGATGTCGTAGACGATATCAGTAACAGAATGAGGCGTAACAACCTAATAATTAAAGGCATACCTGAAAATGGTCAGGAGGGATATGCCGAGTCCGAAACCATCGTGAAAGATTTCTGTTCTACCCACTTGAAGATTAACGTTGGCGACATCGAACGCGCTCATCGTATTGGTCAGCGCCGTCCTGGCTTTCATAGGCCTATCATCATTAAGTTCCTCAATTTCAAAACCAAAACAGAAGTTTTACGGAACGCCCCCAAACTGAAAAATCTCGATTTCCCGAAGGTATGGATAGAAGAAGATTTTTCTCCCAAAGTTCAGTTGGCTCGCAGAAAATTGCGTGAATATGCCAGGAGTAATCGTGAAGGAACAGAACCATTTTCTATACGTTATAACTCTCTGCACTTGAAAGGCTCCATCTACCGATACGACCCTGTCAAAGATAACATCGTAGAAGTTCCTACACGCAACCAGTCATCGCGTACTTGACAAAAACTTGCAGAAAAATCCAAAGCTGTATCTTCAAATACTGTCTCGTTACTTTTGGCCAACTTCCGCAGCCTGTATCACAAACTAGACAGTTTAAAGGCACTGATGCATACTTGCTCTGCTGATGTTATAATCGGTACTGAAACCTGGCTATCCAGCGACGTCGCAGACAATGAACTAGCTCTGCACCCGTCTTTTAAGATATTTCGCAAAGACAGGGAAAATTCTCGAGGAGGCGGAGTTATCATTGCTATCAGAGGAGATTATAATCCATCACTTTTGATTGTCGATACTCCCCTAGAACTAGTTGCGATTACCGCGCGTATTGGTCATGCGCAGTGTGTGATTGTTGCATGCTATCGCCCGCCTGACAATCGGTCAGACTTTGTACACTTATTTAACACCGCCATTGAACATATTTTTTCTCAATATCCGAAATGCATTTTGATAGCAGGGGGAGACTTTAACTACCCTTATATCGACTGGTCAAACTCTTCTCTGAAAGAAAACAGCAATAGATCTGAATGTGTTAATTTCTTGCATACTCTGCATTTTCATCATTTATCTCAAGTTGTACAAAAACCAACACGAGGCAATCATATCTTAGACTTAATCTTGACAAATCATCCAGAATTCAGTGAAGTCCGAGTGCTTGATCCAATAAGTGACCATAATGTCGTGCACTGCTCGTTTGCACTGAAATCCACCGTACAAAGGAAAATGAAGAAGTGTATTCTCAGTTACGCTCGCGCTAATACTGAAAAAATGATGGCCATTTTAGCACCATTTGCCGCAGACTTTTCAAATGAATTCCAAAATAGATCTGCAAATGACAATTGGTGTTTGTTTCGAGACAGACTGAAGGAAGTTGAAGCTAACTGTATACCTAAGATAACCTTCACCTCAAGGCCGAACGACCCCTGGTTTAACCACGATGTAAAAAAATGCATAAACAAGAAAAAAAGAGCTTT